TCAACAAGCATTGGCAAATTTGACCAGAAATTGTAGGAATTAGCAACCGATAGTTTTGTTGTCAGTAAGGCAGTATTACAGATACTAAAATTGTAACTTATCCTTAAAATTGTGATATGTAATGCAAATTTCTTACCAAGGAATTTGCTTTTTGGACTTTTAACTACTTGACATAATTGAATGTAAAATAATAAAGGGAAAAAAAAAAGATTCTTGAAAAGGTTGGCTACAAAATGCAAAATTTCGGTTCGCAAAAGAAATTGGACCAATTTCATTTTCCTTTCTTAAAGGGTAAAACGGTGAGTTACCTTCTCTGGTAACTGGATAAATTGTTCAGGAAGATTTATTTGAGGATTCCATAGTTTATTGTATGGTCAGAAAATTTCTTTCCGGTCTGGTAATATTTCCTTACCTATAATCTTGAGATCTTTGTTGAGTTTTCGACAACAAATATTCTTGGCACTCTTCTTGACTGCTTGATGCCTGTGCTTTATTGCTCAAAGCATCACCCCCTTTAGCTATGCCCCACTCGATCCTCCCATAAGGGCTCTCTTCATCACCTCTTTTAACATAAAAAAAGTAAGTTCTATGTCCAAGTAAAAAGAGAATTAGCCCAAGAATCATAACAAGACATGGAATCCAAAACCAAGTGCCCAACTAATATTGTCTTGAATATAGTGCAAGATCAAATGTGCTGCTATAGAACCAATGCATAGGCCACAGAGCCACCAATTAAAAAATGAGCTCTTGGCTTTGCTTTTTTCCTGATGTTTTCCGTTGAATTGATCAGCTCCAAAAGCTTGAACACAAGGTTTATATCCTTGAGCCAATGCAATCACATAAAGTGAGACAAAAAACAAAACTTGGTTTCCTGTATCCAGGCCTGATTTCTTGGTTATGGCTTGATAGCTTGAGCTGCTGAGAAAAGTTGGACTAATTGGTGCAGACAGGCTCAAAAAACCAAGTTCCTGCAACATTTTCAGCACCATATCACCATAGAGAGTAATAAGAGCTTGAAGTATGTACAATTCCAAAGAGATGGAGACTTGTTATTTTCACCCCCTTATTTGTATTTGGCTCTCCGTCTGAGTTTCTGATCCTCTGACTTGAATTAAAGTACCCGTATACTTCATTGCATTCACAACCACGGCCATCTAGTCAAATTTTACTTCAAGTGACAAACATGTAGACATCTTATTTTTTGTATGAGTAGAAAAGTGCACAAAAGTTACGTTAACAAACAAGGAAATGCTATAAAAGTAAAATTGTGAACTGACCAAGATATAGAGAATGGAAGCAATGATAATTGATCGATAGCGGCCAAGGAAAGAATCAGCCAAATATGCTCCTAAAACTGGTACAAGTGAAACTACACCAATCCATGTATTGACATTTGCAGCAGCTGCTGCCACGGATTCTCCAAGTGGTCCAGTAAGACAGTTAATCAGATTAGATTCTACTCCATAATAGGCAAACCTCTCCAGAGATTCTCCAGCTGTAGATTACAGCCAGTCCAGTCAAATCATAATGATCAGGTTGAATTCAGCATAAACTTTGTTTTGCTTCTAAATCATTACTAGTTCTTAGAAAATTGGACAAAAAGAAGGTAATGCTTAAAGAACTTTAGCAATCATTGGAAAATACCTTAGTAGGACTACGTATTTACTTTTATATGTTTACTAACCCAGCATGAAAGATGCTGATCTCCATCCACCTGGACTGCCCTTGTAATAGACATGAACCTGAACCGCCTCATTGTCAGTCTCTAGAAGCGGAGATTGGGGCTCAAAAATTCTGCTTCTGCTCATCCTCCACTGATGCTCATATCAATGAAACCTAGCAGAACATTAGTAGTCTTCTAGTATTTGTTCAAGTAGATGAGGAGCCATATGGGATAATAAATAATTCAAAATAGGCGCCACTAATTACTGATCTTGCTTAAAGTTCAAGCTTCTTCAACTCATTTTAATTCGGGTTAAATGCAAAAAATCCTATGAACTATATATTTTGTTGCAGTTTACCTCTCAAACTATTTTTATAGGTGCTTTGCCCCCTTTTATGATATAGTTGGACAAATCTACCCATTTTATCTTAAGCATTGTTATTTTTCTTTATTCCCTATTATTTTCTTTTTAGATTCTTCCTCTTTATTTTCTTTAAGCACTGTTTAAATCAGTATACTAGATTAATCAAAACTTATTTATTTCTTAATTTCTCATGTCAACATTTTATAAAAGAATTCTATGGTATAGAAGACTTTTTTTTTTTTCCAAATGTTGAAGTCAATATCATTTAAGAAATTAAACTATTCAAATATATAAGAACAAAATAGAGATAATGATTAATCAATTATGAATAGTATTAATAACAAATAAAAAATGAAATACTATTGTTGTTTATTCTTATCTTTTTATTTCACTTCAAATAACAATTGTTAACTTTTCTTTCTTACGTGATATATAATAAGTAACTTTTGTTATAAATAGTTGAGTAATTGTAAACTCTAATTGGTTTATAGGTACTTAAATTATTGAATTACTGGATTAGTACACTTTACAATATAAGCTACATATATTTTATAATAACAAAGAGTTTATGATATATTATTAAGAACGAATTTAACAAATCAATGAATTAAAAAAGCAGTTCAAAAAATATTAAAAATTCTGATGTAAGTCTTTTAGCATTGGAGGGAAAAAAAATAAGAAAATAAAAGGAAAAAGAAATGGGAGAAAAGGGAAAAAAATAAAAAAAAGAATAGAGAAAAAAGAAAAAAAATTTAAGATAATAAGGGTAGTGTTGTCCAAACATATAATTCAAGGGAGCAAAATGCCTATTATTATAGTTTAGGGAGTAAATGGATCTACTAGTTTTTCAAATATTATAAAAAATTTTGAAAAATACTCTAAAAAGTATTTTAAAAAATAGTCTAAATTTTTTTAATATTCAAAAAAATCCCAAAATATATTTTAAAAACTCTACTACTCTTAAATATTCCAAAATATTGTCTAAAAATATCTCAAAATATACTCCAAAAATTCTGCTACAGTAAAATTTTTCAAAAATACTTTCAAAAACAGCTAATCTAAACAGAGCGTTCCTGGGATTTTTTTTGCATTTAACCCTTTTAATTACTATGACCATGTCTGCAATGCTAAAGATTTTGAGGGAAAGGGGTTGGTGGTTAGTCAACATCTCAAGGTAGCAAGAAAATGTATCAAAGCATGCTTACCTAAATATGATACTACTTGCCCAGGAAGGTTGAATTAAGACCATAGTATAATGATGTATTGCTGTCCTATCCTTGACCAGGGCCCTTTGAATACTTAGTTTAATTACTTAGTAGATCAAGAATTTAGTTTCTTTTTGGTGTTAATGATTTCCACATGAATCAGGAGTTTGTTTTTATCTTTTCTTGGCGTCCTCGTGAATCAGGGGATGTAGAAAATGGAAACACAAGAGAGATCACTCAATAAAAAATCTATACAAGGTTGTTTTCATATTTATGGTGAAACCATATATTACCTAATAACTTTTCAGTACATCAAATTGCAATCTTATGGTAATGGACAGGAAAACGTGCATTGCATCCATTGCTTTCGCGACAAATTTGAACGATACTAAAGGGAATGCATAAGTTTTTACCTCCTAAGGAGGGAAGCTCTGCATTTAGTGCTCAAAAAAAGCTGTGCTTTTGTTCCTTTGCAGAGTCTCCATTTCCTTTCTTTAAGGTAAAATTGTTTAGAGAGGCGTTCAGTGCTAAAGTTTCTTGATACTAAGCCTGCAGAAATATTTAATCATTTCTTGGAGTTCTCCCCCACCCATGCTTCTCTGCAAGTTAGATTCATCAAAGGTAATCCAGGATATCGTTCCCGGGGAGTTGCAATAAGAGAATCGACAGGTGGTTTATTCAGAGCCTTTACTAGTCATTACTAGTAAAATGCGGAATCGGAGCTGGTGCGGTTAAGTTAGGTGCAACCTGGACAGGTGGAGTTGGAAATTTGATGCAATTGTCCGGTTATTATATTTTTTTAGGGTAAAATACCAAAAAATTTCCTGTGATTTGTTGAATATTCAATATAACTCTCTCTGATTTGAAAACCTAGACTATAGTTCTAATTTCGAATAAATTAAAAATTGGGCCGAAAGCATTCAATCTAATGGCTGTGTGAGAAATGTCAATATGGTCTCAACTATACATGAAATGCTTGTCGTTCCATTTTCAATTTAATCGAAATTGCAGGGAGTTATAGTATAGTTTTCTAAACCAGCGGGAGTTAAATTGAATAATTGGCAAACTACGTGGAGTTCATTTATGTTGAGGTTGTATTGACATTTCACATATAACATTAGATTGGATGCTTTTCGTCTAATTTTCAATTTAGTTGAAACCACATAGAATCATAGTATAGGTTTTCAAATCAGAGGGAGTTAAATTGAATATTTAACAAACCATAGAGAAATTTTTTTTTTTTTTTTTTTTTTTTGTATTTTACCCTCTTTTTTACATAATATGATATACTTGTATGCAAGTTTATCGTGTACGACTCAATGGATTGTTATCGATGAAATACAACAACGGTACCTAACTGCTATGGTTGTGTTAGGTGGTGTTATCTACAATTGCTGTATTATGAGCATAGGAATTTTTCATTGATTTTTGATGATTGTGATTAAGTTTCAGCAATAGCGAAATATAACTCTTGCTGAAGAAAGTCTCAATCTTGTGAGGTTTGTAGTATAATTTTTCATTGATTTTGGGGTACCCTCCAAAATTATCATTAAGGTCTGTAGCATAATTTCGATTCACGTCCATGTCACGAATCTATATGTTAAACACTAAGGAGCATTAATCATTAGGTGATGGACGAGGAATCTAAACTTGTACCTGTTTATCTTGAAATCAAGTATGCCACTTTTTTTTTCTTTTGCAAAATGTCAATATATCATTAATATGAAAATATATCTGCATATTTGTACACTTAAAGGGTACATAACCTAGTAACTTTCCGTGCCTTTCTTCCAACCAAGAGGGGAAACCATATTCACACGAAAAGTTGTACATAACCTGGATTTTTTTGTAGTTGCAGAAAATGCCAACCTTCTGATTTTGTCAACAAATTTGTTGGTTGAACAATGATGGGTATATCATCGAATTCCCTCATGTATGAACCATGTAGAACCCCAAGACATAGACTTTGGACTTCACCACATTCTGCAGCAGAAACATGTTAGTCGAAGAATGAGTGCTGTAAGGATGCTGGTGCAGCTCTAGAAGAGGCACATTCAGGACTGATACTAGAAAATCGCCAGTGCAGAAGGTTATCCTTTGTGCATAATCTAACTTTAGACAGCTATCACACAAGCTAGTGATCTCCTACGGGTTACCAGTCAACCTACCTGCTAAACCTGTTTGAGAACACTTGCCACTATCATTTTGCTCGACACAGCTGTAAAATCTTGATAGATAGACAAAAATGATTAAACCCACAGCACCTATTCCAGCAAGTAGCCAATAGAAATAATCAATATGTGCATGATTTAAGTTGTCTGAGAACCAACTCTCTCTACCCCGTTGACTTGTAGCTTTGTCAATCATTGAGACCAGAAAACTACTCAAGAAGTTCCCTATTCCCAAGGCACCATAGTAAAATGACAGGCCTACACTTCTTAATTCAATGGGGACCTGATCATAGAAAAACTCCTGCATCCCTACCTGATTGAACACATCTGCAAGTCCAAATAATATGTATTGAGGCACCAACCACCAGAAGCTCATAGGAAGTGTTGCATTGGGTATATCTACCAAATGATAATCTTGAGCAGTTTTGAGTCTTTTGATTTCGATTAGAGCTGCAACAGCCATGTTAATAACCGATATGCCCATCCCTGCTCCTATTCTTTGCAGCATTGTTATACCTGTGGGGTTTTTTGTGATTGTTCTGGCAACTGGGACGAAAATTCGGTCATAGATTGGAATGCACAACATTATGGTAAGAGGGACGAAAGTCCTAAGTGTGGCAGCTGGAATATTAAAACTTAGCCCTATTGATTTGTCCAAGGTTGTTGCTTGCTTTGTAAATAATGTGGCCGCTTGAGCATATGCAACTGTATATGTTAAACAAGTTATCCATATAGGAAATAGCCTTAGAACATTCTTTGGCACTTCTGTTTTGTCAGAGACAGTTGAATAGTCATCTGCTGCAGGCGATACATTTTTCAGAAATCTGTCCAACAACATTTGACAAGAAATTGAGGGTATTAGCATGCATTGCACTTTCTATTGAGCACCAAGTTAACATGGATGCTAAACTTGTAAAGTGTTCCATAGCATAATTTATGATTTAAATCAAATCTACGAAGAAAATTCTTGTCAATGAATTTGTGTTTTGGGGTCACCCTAGTTGTCTATCTGACCATTTGCTAATGACATAATTCAAAGAGGAGTTACGATATTTAATGACCCAAAAAAACTCTTGAAAAGCTTTGATACATAATTTTGCTTTTATAAAACAAAATTAGAACTGTTTAACTTCCCTTTCTTTAAGGTTGAAACAGATAAGTTAATTAGGGTGAACTGAAACAGATGAGTAACCTTCATTCCAGTCTGGATAACTTTAATGGGATGAACTATTTAAGCACTCCATAGTTTGTATATATCATCAGAAAAATGATAAAGTTTGAGACATTTTCTTCTTAGTCTAGTGATCTTTCCTTACCTGTAGTCTTGAGATCTTTGTCGAGCATTTAACAACAAATCTTCTTGGTACTCTTCTTGACTGCTTGATGCTAGTGCTTCATGTTGTAAAGTATCATCCGCTTTATCTAAACCACACGTAATCCTTCCATATTGCCTTTCTTCATCACCTCTTTTAACAGGAAAAAAGTAAATTCTGCTTCCAAGTAAAAAAAGAGTCAGCCCAAGAATCATAGCTAGACAAGGAATCCCAAAACCAAGTGCCCAGTTTATGTTATCTTGAATATAGTGCAAGATCAAATGTGCAGCTGTAGATCCTATGCATATGCCACACAGCCACCAATTGAAAAATGAGCTCTTAGCTTTGCTCTGTTCCGGATGTTTTCCATCAAATTGATCAGCTCCAAAAGCTTGAACACAAGGTTTATATCCTTGAGCCAATGCAACCAAGTAAAGTGAGACAAAAAACAAAACTTGGAGTCCTGTTTTCGGGCCTGATTTCTTGTTCATGCCTTGATAGGTCGAGCTGCTGGTAGATGTTGGAATAATTATTGCAGACAAGCTCAAAAGACCGAGTCCCTGCAAAATTTTCAGCCTTATCGCCAAAGAGAGTAATAAGTGGACTTCTTGTCAATATGAATCAAACAAGAATACTAGTATCACAACCACTCATAATTACTCATTTTTTCTAATCAAATTGTAATTTAAATGGCAACTGAATGATAGTGCCATTAACAAACATAAGAATGCCAATAGCAATTCCTAAAAAGAAAAAAATTGTAAACTAACCAAGATGTAGAGAAGGGAACCAATGATGATTGATCTATAGCGACCAAGGACAGAGTCAGCCAAATATGCTCCTAAAACTGGTACAAGTGAAACTACACCAATCCATGTATTGACAGTTGCAGCAGCTGTTGCCACGGATTCTCCAATTGGTCCGGTGAGATAGCTAATGAGGTTGGATTCTACTCCATAATATGCAAATCTCTCCAGGGATCCTCCAGCTGTAGATTGATTCAGTCAACTCAATCAATCCAGTTCCAAAAAACTTCTACTGGTGATCAACTTCAGTTCTGAATATGCTTTATTTTGCTTCTTAATCATCACTAGTTCTTAGAATATTGGACTAAAGGAAAAAAAAAAGAATTCTTATAAAACTTTAGCCTTCAATGATAAAATACTAACCTAGCATGAAAGATGCCGATCTCCATCCACCTGGGCCTGCTTCATTTTCAGTCTCCAGAAGTGGAGTTTGGGTCTCCAGGACTCTGCTCCCGCTCATGACAGACGAAATCAAGCAGAAAATGGGACAGTGATGCGATCTCTGTTCTTTATTATACAGTCAACTTAGCGGACAAGGAATCTTTCTTTAAAATGGAACCGCAGCCTCAATAATTACATTTGTACCTCACTGTTAATGCATGCTAAAAAGTTCAACCTTCTTTAAACTTATTTTAATCGGCATTCTTGTATATTATATTCCATCCATATCCCGGTAGGCTTATTTTATTAAAGCAGATTTTCATACTTTGTTAGGCCTTAATTGTGGATTCAGAAATCAGAACGGTTGGTTTCTTCTATCAATCTGCCCTGATTTTCAACGGCTTACATCAATTGTTGTAAACAAGTTGAAATTATTGATAATTTTTCAGAAGAAAACCATAAACTGCTTACTCAATTAACTAGCAAGAACCCACAAACTCAACTATACCGACCAAAAAATCATTAGAAGGCTTAGGTACTGCCAGATTGCAGAGAACAGTTCATGATCCAGATCAGGCCGACCTGAAGTTCGTCGGATCTGCAGTCATCAATTTTGAGCGCAAGAAATTTTTAAAATTTGAATAAAATTTGAATTGTGCCAGATTTGGGCTATGAATTGTACCCTGCAAGCTGCAATTGCGAAAGCCAGTAAGGAAGCAATTAGCAATATTAGGGGTGGTTGGGAATGAAGGTTTCTCCTGGTTGTGGATATGGGCATGGAGTTAGTTATGGAGCTGCTGGTGGTGGTGGTAGTGCGGCCAGCTGCGGTGCAGCTGGTGATTTGGAAAATGAGCGTGCTGAGCTTGAAACGGGGTAAGTTACCATTTTCTCAATCTTATTATATCCATGTATTACTTTTTCCTAAGTTGGGTTTGTGACAATTATGTCACTAAAAAAGTCAAGATAGAGAATATGTTTTCATTCTAATATTGTCCATTTTAGACTCATAACAAATTTAGTTAATCCCTAAACTTTTGAAAATTTGACCGGTATGATTTTTTAATTAGGAATTACAATGTGTTAAAAAGGTTGAAAGACATATTAATAATTTTCCTTTCATTAGTCTACACAAGAAATATAATAAAATTTTGAGATTCTATTAATTTAGAAAACCCATAAAAATTATGTGAGAAATTTATAACAAGTTGCACATTAAAAACACTTCAAATAAATTTCTAAATATATAGTTAAGAATTTATAATTTTCAAGTTTTTAAGCCATTGATCTTGAGAAAGAAATAGAAAATTCAAAAAAACTTGTATATAATTCATAAATCTTTACTTCATACACAAGTACTTTTTGAATTAAAAATAATTTTTGTATTTGATAAAACCTCAAATGAGTTTGTAAACATAAACATCTTGTCTTTTATTTTTCTCATTTTCAATCCATCAATCTAAATAAGAAATTCTAAAAATTCTAAAAATTTTGAAAAACTCCTCAAATTGATTGAAAACACTTCAAAATAAAGGAATAATATTTTTGGCTTGAAAAAACTTTGAATACATTTTTAAAACTAATTCTTTTTGTACATTAAAATACCTATTGTTATATTGTGTTCATCAAAATTATACATTTGTACAATTTGTCTTCATTTTCAACCTTTTATTACATGCTTTCATTTTTTTGTTTTTTTAAAAAAAGATTAGGACAACAAATGGCACTTTTGGAACAAAAATGTGTTCTCTATTCGAAAATGAGTTTTTAAACAATATCTTTTGAAATGGGTTGACAATGTTACAAAAAGTTAAAAATAGGGGAGGCAAGTGATATTTTTTAAAGTTAAGGGGCTCTAGGTGAAACTGTCACAAACCTTAAGGAAAGTTTTTGAAATTATCCCTAAACCTCATATCCATGAAATTAGCTTTAGGAGAGAATTGTAGTTTCCGTCCCCCAATATTTAACCTATGTGTTAAATTAGTCCTTAGTGTTTCGTCTAATGTAAATTTGGTCCTTATAATTTCTGATTTTAAGCACATATAGGACAACTAATGGAATTTCAAGAAAGGCTAACTATCAACATCAAATTGCTATTAGTCAACAATTTTGAATTTGCATTTTTTGTCCCCAATATTTTGATTTTAAATAATTATATTTCCTTAAATTTTAAATCGTGATATTAAAGGTTTTAGGATGAAATTAGATGCAATTTATAACGAAATTCTATTAAATGGGTAATAAGAATTCTAATTAAATTTAATTTTTTTCCATTTTTATTTAATTTATTCTGCCATTGATATATGATATACTTATTCTTTTCTTTGAAAAATTAATCTCAATTTTGATATAATATAAGTATATTATTGTTTTATGCTATTAGTAATTAATTGACAATGAGTTCTATCATTTTTTGTAATGTTTAGTGATAGCTAAATAGTTTGGCATGTTAATGGATAGAGTTTAGATTGGATCCCTTTGATCCAGATCTAGACCCATTAAATTCAATTAGACTCAAATCCAGATACAGACCCTTATGGATTTGAAAAAATAAGTCTAAACCCAAACCTCCTGGATTTGGATATCCAATGGATATCCGTTACATTTTTCTAAACATACTAAAGTAAAAATTTATTAAAAATATGTAGATTTAAAAAAAACATAACGCTATCCAATTTTTATTTCCAAATAATAAAATTAATATTCGAGAAGTTGAATGCAATATGATGAATTCAAAAGAATAACTATTAGTGATTGCTTCTATTTATTTTTAAAACTTCAACTGTATCTACATTCAATCTTTCATTTATTTGTCTTTACTTTTTCTCCTTTTTCTAAAAAAATTTATACTGATTACAATGACAACTAAGATTAGTTTGAAAAAAAATCATGAAATCTTACTGTATTAGATCCAATGACCATAGAATATTAAAATATTTTATAAATTTACTAATATATATAATTTTAGTATATATACATGGGTCTGGATAGAATCCTGTATGGATTTGGATTTGGATATGGATATGAATAATAGAAAACCATACCCTACCCAGACCCATAACTCTTTTACAGGATCTGGATCTAGGTAGGGTCTGGGTATGAGGAATTAAATCCAAACCCTACCCAAATACATTGGGTTTAGATTGGATCTAGATAAGATCTGATCCATTGACATGTCTATAAACAACTAATGGAATACCCTTTAAAATATAGAAAAAACTATTCGTAAATTAAGTTTTTTTTATGAGTTTTTCTAATGAGTGTCGGTGCGGCACTTGTTAAGATATCTAAATTACATATAACTTATCATATGAATGCAAACACTAATAATTATTACCCTGCCATGCATTTTTAAACTTTCCCTATATAGCTTTTTATTTCTAAAATATTAAAACTTGAACTACATCTTAATGACTTGGCGCTTGTTAGATAATTTTTTGTTTTCGCATTTCAATTGGTTATCAATTGAGTTTGAAATGAATTTGGTTTCAAAAATTAATTGAATCATTAAATGATTATCTAGGTACCGGATATTAAAATAAATATTTTAAAACTATAGTAATGGAACATTTTATTTTAATTGCTAGGAAAGACAAGAAAATGGAAAACAACAGTGTTTCTAAATATTCTTAAAAGCACTTCGCGTTATTATTTACCTTGACTAGTTTTTATGATTATATTGACTAACTAGAAGAATTTGAAGCCCACATGCACAACATATATAAGAATTTATACAATAGCTACTATAATAAACTTGAGACTAATTATGCAAAAGAGAACAAGAATATGAGATTTAGTGCATGAATAAATAAATAAAAATAAAAAAGAGAAAAATAAATTTAATTAGAATTTCTATTGCCCATTTAATATAATTTCATTCTAATTTGCATTTCATTTCACTTTAAAATCTTCAATGTCACTATCTAAAATTTAGGAGAATATAATAATTTAAAATCAAAATATTGGAATCCAAAATTGTAGATTCAAAATTGTTGACTAACGGCAATGTGATGTTGACTGTTAGTCATTCTCGAGTTTTCCATTAGTTCTCGTGAATGTGCCTCCATTAGTTGTCGTGAATGTGACTAGAATAATAAACTTTAGGAGCCAGATTTGCTTTAGATGAAACATTAAGAACTAATTAGTACATAAGCCAAATATTGGGGATCAAAACTGCAATTTCCCTTTGTTCTAATGATTGATTCTTACAATTGATTATAATGATTGATTCTAGCGATTGAATACAACAAATTTCAGCACAAGTAACGGTACAGAAGTTCGGCCACAAGTTAATTTATACTTCGGAACCTTTTTCCATGCCATTTTGTTGGCTATAGGTGTAAGATTTTGCTAAATGGACAAATGAAATTAAACCCACAACACCTAATCCAGCAAGCAACGAATAGAAGTAATCAAGATGTGCTCGATTTAAGTTGTCCGAGAACCAACTTTCTCTACCGTTTTGACTTGTAGCTTTGTCAATCGCAGAGACAAGAAAACTGCTGAAGAAGCTGCCTATACCTGTGGCACCATGGTAAAAAGAGAGGCCTAAACATCTTAATTCAGTAGGCACCTGATCATAGAAGAATTAATGCATTCCTACGCGAATGAACACATCCCCTGGTCCAAGTAATAGGTATTGAGGTGCCAACCAGCAAAAGCTCATAGGAATTGTAGCAATTGGAATAGCAAGCAGACCAAAATCTTGAGCAGTTTTCAGTCGTCTCATCTCAATCAAAGCTACAATGACCATGTTTAGGAGAAATGTTGCCATGCCAATTCCTTTTCTCTGAAGCATTGTTATGCCAGAGAGATAACTTGTTATCCTTGCCGCTGGGACAAAAATTCGATCATAAATTAAACTGAAAGGAATCATGCAATGAATATCCGAAGTGCAGCAGCTGGTATAGTAAAACTTTGCACTATTGATCTGTCTAGTGTTGTTACTTGCTTGGTAAATAATGTCAAGCTTGAGCATATGCAATTGCATAGGATAAAGAAGTAATCCATATAGGGTGCAGCCTTAGGACTTGCTTTATTTCTTTGGTTATGCTAGAGGTTGCATTGTTGTCAGTTGAATCATCATCTGCAGAAGGCAATTCACCATTGAGAAACCTGTCCATAAAATGCTATTAGCAAAATTCCTAAAAATGATTGATTTGAAAACCAGAATTGTTTTGTGTACCAAGGTTATTACACAACTCTTCACAAACGAAATTTTCAATGCTTTTGTGTTAATGGTAGCATCATTTGTTGATAATTGGGTTCAATTCATTTAGATTTGATGAAAAAAACTAGTGTCTATTCGGGTTTTTGAATTCTGTGATTTTTGAATGATTTTCCTCCTGTTGTATTGTTGTTGAGCTATCTAAATCGCTTAGATGCCTGCTCCACAGTTTACAGGAGCATATCCATACAACAGAGGGGAGTAGCAAGAAAATAGAATTGAATAACTTTTTCTTACATGTAATTCTGAGAGCTTTCTCCACTGCTTGATGCTGGATCTACAATGTGCAAAGCACTGATGCCTTTCGCAAATCGCTTAGTAATCCTGCTACAAGGGCTCTCTCCTTCATCACCTATTGTGCTTGAAAATTGATAAGTTCTACGTCCCAGTAATAATAGGATGAGCCCAACAATCATGGCCAGACATGGAATCCCAGAGCCGATTTCCCAACTTATGTTGTCTTGGATGTAGTTTAAGATCAGGTGTGCTGCTATAGGACCAATGCCCATGACGCCAAGCCACCAGTTAAAAAATGAGCTCTTGGCTTTGCTTTCTTCTGGACGTTTTCCATCAAATTGATCGCCTCCAAAGGCTTGAAGAAATGTGCTATATCCTTGTGCTAGTGCAACCAAATATAATGAGCCAAAAAACAAAATTTGGATATGCATATCAGGCTCTGCTTCATTCTTGGTTCTACCAGGAGAGGTCGAACCTCTGCTCACTATTGGAGTAATGGTTGCTGAAAGGGTCAAAAACCTAAGTCCCTGAAATGTTACATTCTGTAAATTGCTGAAAAGATGTAAAGGGAAATAGAAAATTAAGGCACCAACTGAGATGTAGAGAATGGAAGCAAAGATGACTGATCTGTAGAGGCCAAGGAACGAATCGGCCAAAAATGCTCTAAAAACTGGTACAAGAGAAACTACGCCAATCCATGTATTGACAGTAGCAGCAGCTGTTGCCACAGATTCTCCAAGGAATGAGATTTGATTCTATCCCGAAATATGTAATCTCTCAAGATTTCCAGCACCTAAAATATCAATTAAGCCAGCACAATCAAAACAATTTCTAATTAAGCTTTTACTATCATCAGCTTCAATCGTGTTGACACTCAGGCAATGAATAGGAGGACAATTGTCCCGTTTGCAATGCTTAAAGTCTATAAAAGTGTTAATGTAAAAGTGTAAAAGGAGGACAATTGTCCCGTATGGTAAAAGTGTTAATATATGCGGATAGCTTTGTAAGTAGTGTTTCTCCAACTTGTACTTTCGAGAAAAGTTAATTTGGGTGGACAGCCTTGCCAAATGATCCCAGACTTCCTTTGCCGAACTGAACTTCCCTGGGTGCATGCCAATTGATGGCTTTGCAGAATTGTTTATCCAGGTAATAATTCTAGCATTAAATATATCCCACTCAGATTTTAACTTGGCATAATTTCAGTCCCTTCAGTTGGTTTCCCTACCGTTGAATCAACATACTTCCAAACTTCTTTACCTATTACCAAATTGGTGCCATCTAACTTCACCGAGATAACCTGACTTGAGTCAGAAGCCATTGCTTTGAAATGAACAGATCAGTACAATCACAAAGAAATGTGCAGATTCTTAGTTACCAATTACCAAAGTTGGCGAGCATATTGGAGAAGAGACTAATTTGTACAAAATTCTAATTCCAGAGAAAAGCATAGTTAAAGCACAAATAAGAAATAATAGTCACGGCACCAGGATCAAGTAGTCAAAGCTAATCCTTGAAGAAAACAAATTGGCTCTTGATACCATGCATGTTAATAAGATAAACGGACAGAAGCTAAAGAAACCTGGAGAGAACATCATCAAACAAGAGTTGTAGTAATACCTACATATAAATATAAACAAATAACATTTATTTTTTTCCGTACCGCCCAACTCATCCCTCCCCCTAACCAAATATCATAGATAACCCTACTTACAAAATTATATCCTAGCATATACATTAAAAAAAAAGTATTTCTTTAGAGCATCAATTGTCTAGTTAAAATTTTCCATATAGTTATCACCTACTGTGTTTTAGTGATAATGTTTGTGATTTACTGACCTAAGATCAAAGATGCTGATCTCCATCGGCCTGATTTGGACTGTATAATTGGACAGCCCTTACAATCAACGTAACCATCCGCTGCTTCATTGGCTGTAGCTAGAAGAGGATTTGTGGGTTCCATATTTCTGCTTCCACTCATCACACTGGAGTGGATGCCTAATATTCCATAAAACTAAGCATTAAAAAATTGTATGGTACAGGAAACTTGGAAAGCTTTGGAGAATTCAAATGATCTATCCTGTGCTCATATTTTGTTTGGATATGAGAAAAACTATTTTGAAGCATGTTCGTGTGTTTTTAGCTTACATACAATAAAAAGTACAAAATTATTGTCAGAATTAACTTCAGGTATATCCAGATTGCCAAAAAAAAAACCTCTTCAAGTGCCTCTTAAATCTACATTTAACCTTTCATAATCAACATAATGCTCGACTTCTTCGTTGTCAGTCTCCAAATTTTTGCTTCCGCTAGCTTATCACAATGGAGGTGATGCCAGTATGGAATGAAATCAATCAGAACAATCAGGAGTCTAAATAAACTGGAGTAGATGAAAAGCCATTTTGTACAATAAATAAAATGGGAATGGGGCCTTAATAACCAGAATGGACATCACTTCTCCAGCTTGCTTCCAAGTTCAAGATTCTTAAACTCATTTTCGCCAGTACCTCTGGTGGTTAATCACTGGCTTGCTTTGAAATTCAAGCTTCTTAAACTCATTTTAATCAGTACTTCTGGTGGTTAATCACTATCATAAGGTAACCAAAAATGTAGGAATGCATGCCTACTGTCACGGTAGAATTAATTAATACCGTAAGTATAATAATCTGTTGGTATCCTATCATTGACCAGGCCCGGTTGATTGTTTAGTTTTCCTCGTGGATTAGGAACAGGGGCGGAGGGAAGGGGGGGGGCCAGGGGGGGCAACCGCCCCCCCTCCAATTGTTAAAAAAAGAAATTTCTAAGTAAAAATTTTTTTATTACATTGTTTTGCCCCCCCAAATATTGATAAAAAATTTCACTTTGCCCCCCTCCAATTGTTATAAAAAAAATTTCTAAGTAAAAAAATTTTTATTATATTGTTTTGCCCCCCCAAAATATTGATAAAAATTTTCACTTTGCCCCCCTCTCAAGGATCCAAACAATAATATTTGAAAGTTATTTGGACTTGGTCCAAATAACAGAGACTCGCCCCCCCTAATTGCAATTCCTAGCTCCGCCACTGATTAGGAACTTATGGCTTCTTGGTTAATGTTTTCGACATGAATCAGGAGATCGTTTTCTTGACTTCCTGAATTAGGGGTTCTTTTACGGACTGAGTAAGGGGTTTGGAAAATGGGAATATAAGAGTTCAAGTAAACAATTCGCACACATGTTTTCTTATGTAAGTGTCTCTGTCATGTTTTATTATTATTATTATTACTATCATTTTTCATTCACACACATCTTATTTTAATTCTTTTTTATTTTCTTTAGTTCCAACAACTATCAGCAGAGTAAGAAATAAAATATAACAGGCTTAGGAAAAGAATATATAATAGAAAACAAAAACTACAGCAGAAAATTCTCTAGTAGATTATGACCTTGCTCTGAGTTGCTTTAGATTTTATAAAATCTGATTAAAAACACTGATTATAGAGAATAATCATAACCACAAAAGTTACTCTTTGAGTGATTATAGATTTTAGCTTTTTTGGTTATTAAAAAATCTATAATCAAAATGCAAAAACAATTGAGAATATCACAAAAATTTATTATCCAAAAATTAAAATCTATAATCAGTGAAAATAACCAAACGACAACAAGCACTATGTTCATAAGACTAGTTTCTATAATCAGTTAAAATAATCAACTGAGAACAAGCCCTATATTCGTAGAGCTAGTTTATACATCTATACCATGTGTAAAAGCAAAGTGACCTATAGTGTTTATATGTTGTGGTCAATTTTTGAATTTTCTTCTGTACCATTAGTTGAAATCCTGGAAATTTATATGATTATCTAAACAATCTTATGTGAGGACTCGTGTTTTTATTTCTTAATTTAGCTATTTTTATAATTAATTGCCCTAGTTATATTTAATAACCCTAGTAGTGCATGAATTTTTCTTAAGTTTCGATTTTTCGCGCGCACGTCTTAAGTTCGCGCATTCCGCGTAAGTACGCGTGTTTCGCGTCGGAGCGGCTAAGTGGAGATTTAAGAAACTTATACTAGACTACTAAGAGTGAATAATTATAGTGTTAAAGGAAGTACACTGGAGGTTTAGTGCACAAGTATAACAAACAAGAGAGAAAACGGTGGTACGAAACCCGCGTGCGACAACTATTAAGAGTTGACTTTTTGCCCAACACTTATGGCTACTATTCCATTCTTTCTGCCCAAGTTTTAGCACACAAACCTCTCCCATCTCTCTCCATTTTTCGGCCAGCAGCCCCAAGGAAGAAGAAGGAAAGAAAACTCCATCCAATCTTGCACCATTTCACCTCTAAATCTTCACACAACTCACATACCACTTGGAGAGCAACTTTAGCTTGGAGAAGGGCTTCATCTTGCGGGTTTTCTTGGGAGTTTTTGGTACAAAATTTCTGGTTTCTTCAAAGCTAAGAGGTAGCCTTCACCCACCTTGAATCTTTCCAAATTTTTCTCAAAATTGGAGCTTTAATGGCAAGGGTTTGAAACCCAAGCATGAAACTAGGTAGAGGACTTGAGGAATCCATTTGATTTGCTTTAATCTTAGGTAGAGGTCTTGAGGTGGCCTCTAGGAAGCTGGCTTGAGGTGTAAATGCTTGAATATGATTGTTATGTGTGTAGATGAGTTAATTATGGATAGAAAATGAAGAGAAAATCGAAGGAAAGTTGGTGCATGGACTTGGCCGAATCTGTCCTGTTATTGCCTTGTCTTTATTCAAATTTTTGATGCTCAAATGACTTTGGAACTGATGTAGATATGTTGTATATGGTGTATAGAAAATTTCTACCAAAAATCATTTGATTTGGTTGAGCAAAACTTGAATTTTCGAAATTGAAAGAAATCTGGAATTGGGTTCTAGACAACCTAACAGTGCCCATTTGATCGAACATAACTCTTTGTACAAAAGTTGAAATCGAGTGCCGTTTGAGGCATTTGAAACTAGACATTCTTAGCTTTAAAACGGTATAAAAATCACTATCTAGTTCATTATTGTGTGAACTGCAGTGAACTGATAAAGTCGGATGTTCTGTTCAGCCTGTTCATTCGAATGGAAATGAGAAACTGTAACTTGAGGCCTGATTTGGAACTACTTGTGAACTGATTTTGGAAATGATTTTTTCTGATGAAATGTAGCTTTTGGACCTGATGAAATGTAGCTTTTGGAATCTAGTTTCCAAATCCACCAACCATTCTCAATTTGAGTTTGTATTGAGTGATATATGGCAAGATTTCTAAAATGCGACAAACCTGGAAAACTGGAAACTTTTCCTTTCTTCTTGGCCGAATGGTCAAATCTGATTTGAGAAGTTATATTTCGAAAATCTTGATGTTAATTACCTCTAAACTACTTATTAAGTGTTTCTGGACCCTTGGTTTCAAAATGGAATGACTTGGGACTGATTTCATAGTACTAAGCTTTCGGAAAGTAAGAAAAGGTTGAGATGGCAGATTTGCTTTGGGAATTTCACGAACTTTGATTATTTTGTTAACTGCATTTCCACGTGAGTTTTCACATGAAATTTGGTAGAGATGTAGTTCACATATGGAAGATTAAATGTACCAAATTTGATGTATTTTCAATGTCATTTCGATGACCAAATAGTACCTCAAAAATGCCTTCTCAAATCTGGAAAATGACTGGACAGGTCATGAAAGTCGACCAACTTTGAAATGATGTACCTCAATATTCAAAACTCCGAATTTAGTTTCATTTATTGTATTTGAAACCTTGTTTGGAACTCATATGGTGTTACTAATTTCGAAGGCTGATTCACTTTCTGTGAATTTTACCGAATTTCCAAACATCACCGAATAACCATGGTTGGTTCTGTCTTGTTAATAAGTCAGCGACTTTGAACTGAAAAATGAATGCTTTCTGTTTGGAATCTTGAAAAAGTGTCTTCTAGGAACTTTTAAACTTTGAACCTAGATTCCAACGGTGTAAAGTTTTCCATTTTTGGACATGCCAAATTCAAGATCTGATTTTTCTAAATTTGACGCACAAAACTGAAATTTTTCGATTTCTTGGGAAATGAGTTTTTGAAAACTCAACACCTTATCCCGATATCGATATATCGTTTTGGACCCGATTTCATGGAGGATACAAGTCTCCTTTGTGACTTTAAAATCCTCACTTTTGAAACTTACATGTCGATAGAGTAAAGCTCTTTAAGATATTTTCTTAATCCTAAACTAGTGGATATTCTTACTTGGGTGATGCATGATTGTGAATAATAGAAAATCGATATTTCTTCAGGCGCTCACGAGGACCTTCAAGAGAGTCTCGGAGCG